CCGAGCAACAGCACGCGCAAGCAAGCATAGCCCGAGCATCAGCACGCTAGGGGAAGCTGCACAGCAGCCAACATGGACGATTTAGCAGACGGGCATGCGCTGGCTTGGATTTACGGACATGGTGCAACGCATCAGGCATGGACGGAGCGCGAGGAAGCTTCAGAGCAGCGGGCAAGCATGCAAGCTTTTCGCACATCAAAGGCATTCTTATGCTGCTTGCGAGCGCCAGCTGTTGCAACATGGCGTGGACGTCCCAACCCACGTGTTCTTCAAACTTTGGGCACGCTTCACTTCAGACTGAGGGACCACGCTGCGATGGTATCAAGACAAGAGCAGCACGCAGTTGCCCGGCCGGCGTGCTAGACACGCATACACTTTGATCTGTTTCGACGAAGCGCATCACACCGTTCGTGAGAAGATCGAGCAAGTTCAGCGTTTGTGAGTATGCTGACCCGTGTTCCCTTTAGTGCAACACTGCGAAGCCAGATGTCTTCGTCAAGTCAGGCCTCCGCATGCGCCGCTTTGGCCATGCTCCTGTCACGTTGTTTTTGAGGCTCACAGACTCTGAGACGAAAATGTGCGCTGTGTGCCGGCACTCTCATGAGAAGGGCCAGGCAAAAGCCGCAGGACGCTGCTTATTATGCAAGGCCGAGCTGCCAACGACCGACGAGGGCATCAGTGGCCAACTGGACTGCAGCGTGGGTTCCGGGAACAGATGCTTTCAAATTGATTTCCGTGTCTTCAGTTGAGGTTGCGACAGTTGCAATAAACGGTTCAATCCCGGTATGGATGCACATGGACTCGCAAAGACGAGAGGCAGCATGTCGAGTAAAAGAAGCGGGGTCAATCGATCGGGATGCTTAAGACCTCGCTCTGCTTCACCCCGCTACATCCCACGTCTCCTCGTTGGTGTCCTTGTGCAGCAGTGGGTGGCGCAGACTGAGATGAGATTGACTTTTGCAGCTTTGGCAATTCTACCACAGCTGTTTCCAAAAGTCAAATCAATACTGCCAATACTCGAAAATTCGAAAATCATAAATCCAGGCCCAGGCAAGGCACGAGTTCTATATTCCCCTGTGCTATTACAACCTGCATGCCGTTCCTATAAACTGTATGCCTTGAAATATTTTCTTAATTGATAACGAAATTTGGAATCTATCCTTAATCAATAATATATTAACGAATTATTAGCGACTTCTATTATTGATCTCTTTCATTTATATTGAAATATTAATTGGTTAGTAATTATTAATTAAAAATTTTTTTAATATGATAATTAGAATAATATAAATATATATATATTGAAAATATATTATTCGAGATATATTTTCTATTTTTAAAATGTCGTTTTTTCGATTCGATAAATTGAATATAAAAATTAATTAATTATAGTATATATCATAGAATATATTTACTTCGATATTGAATTCATAAAATAATCTATATTATTTAAGAAAATTGATATTGACGATACGAGTTATCATCTTGTCTTAATTCGAATTTTTAAGAAAAATAATATAAGCTTATAGATGGTAGCACTTCTTTTTTAATATTAAATATTAATCTTTTTCTAAATATACGAATGCGAACAGACTTCGATGCCTCTTACAATTCTGAGGTATTGCTTTGTGAGCTCTGCGACATGTATCATAAACAGGACGGAACAGGGCTGTTTTGCAGACTGTATCCAACACTATCCTCCTTAGCACATGAGCCTGCTTTGCAGATCATGTTGCAAGG